GGACAAGGATATTCATTAGTGTTCTTTAGGATAATGGAAAGTACTGGAAAGGAGTCTGATGTCCACAATTTCCCAGGGTGAGGGACTGGTTAAGCAAATTATGACGAACTCTACAATCCAGCCAGTAAGAATCCTGGCATGGAAGAATAGCCAATGGTGTGAGAAAATGTCCACCCTGCATACATGTGGCAGGCTAACCCACCACCACCACCACCACCACCAGGTATGTTCGGCGCTATTCTGATCTTAAAAAACAAAACACAGCGAAAAATAACAAACACAAAAACCTAGACTGGCAGGGAGTACACCAAAACATCAACAGTGATTATTCATGGATGGTGGGGTTACAGATGATGTAAATTTTCTTCTTCCTGTTTATCTGTATTTTGTGAATTTCCTATGATAAACACGTATTATAAATACATAGTCAGAAAGGAATAATCATGCACTTTGCAAAAAGAATGAGGAGATTGGGGGGGGGGTGGAAGGATCTGTCAAGTTCATCAACTTGGATGGGATTCAGGAACCATGCTTAGCTTTTGGGAGAAAGCCCCTCTCCCATTCTCCCTTCCCAGGACTCCCAAGAGAGGCATTTGTAAATAAAAGAAATGCATTCAGCTTTTTTTTTTTTTTTAATTAAAACTTGCCCAGTAATCACCATAATCATTTATCTCGGGCGTTTGTTTAATTATTCAGTCCCTAAGCATCTATTGAGCACCTACTGTGATGCTAGCCCCGGGACCCCAGAAAACAGACCTCGCCCAAAGAAAGTCTCCAGACCAGGAGCAGCTTAGGAGAAAGGGAGACAGAGCACACAGTCTGTAATTTTTTAATTGGAAAAATCGTCATTCTTTGTCAACACTTATTGAGCACTTACTGTATACAGCATCTGGTGCTGGGTCCTGAATCTCTTTGGTTCCTTTTTTGTCTTTTACAACACTGAGATATGATTTACAGTTAAAGGACAGATCTGTTCTCCTTCGTCTCTCCTCCTTTCCCAACGCACTCACCTTCAAGTTTCATCTCTTTATGAGCTCAGAGTTAGGGTAAAAAAAATGCTTGTTGCTCTGGTCTAAGTCACCTCCCAGCCCAAGCGTGAAAAGCATCGGCTCTGGGTTCAGAGAGCCCAGTTCAGCCTTGGGAAAGTTACTCTGTGCCTTGCCTTTCTCATCTGTAGAATAGGTATATTACATATACGCCCCCTCCCTCTCTACAGTTGTTGTGAGGGTCTAATAAGATGATTCAAGCGCTTAGCCTGGTGCCTGGCGCATGACAACCACTCAGCAAATAGTAACGATTGACGTCCAGCTAGGTGTTGCTTTCCGTCACTGCAGAGGGACCAGAAACCAAAAGACTGTGACCAGGAAGCTGAGCTGTGATTGCTTTCAAGTCTTTGCCAATTACACAGATGGAGACAGAAAAATTTCTTTGTTCAACAATCATCAGGAGCCCCGTGGGTGCCAGGCACTGTGCTTGTCACCCTGGCTTTTGCCACAAAGGCACAGACCTTGCATTCAGGAAGCTCACAGTCCAGGGGGGAAGGTGGCGAGGGCAGGGGGTGGGGGTCTTCCCCTCGAGACTCAGAAACAGAAGAGGCTCTCAGTGGAGGCAGGGGGCTAGATAGATGACCTCCACAGGGTCCTTCGCTGACCCTACCCCCTCCTGTCTATGGAGGCTCCTCTGTTGGGGCGTAGTTTACCAGAACCAGCTATATCCTCACGGTTGACCCCTGGCCTAAGGTCAGGGAGTGGGAAACTCGGCAAAGCCCCCTTGCCAACCTGGCAACTTCTGGCAATTCCTGGGTTGTATCAGCTCCTTCTCCTTCCCCCAAACTTTGTCCTGGGAACTTTGCTGTTATTCTCCTGCAGCACAAGCTTCTCAAGGGCAGAGGTCATGGAGGCTCATCTTGATTTGGTGCCTGACTCACAGACAGTGAAGGCCTACTGTGTGCCGGGCACCATTCGAGGTGCTGAGGACATGAGGGAACACAGAACAAAGTCCCTGCCTCCAAGGAACTCCCATTCTAGCAGGGGCAACTGGACAGGAAATACGAGAACAAAATGAATAAGCAAAATCATTGCAAACACTCCAACAGGGTAAAGTGAGAGAGAAAGCTGGAGAACTACTTCAGGGAGAAAGCCTCCCTGAGGAGGTGACATGTGAGCAGAGACCTGAGTGATGCCAGGGAAGCAGGCGCAGAACGGGCCTTCCAGTCAGAGGGAACAAGTGCAAAGGCCCTGAGGTAGGGACAAGGGGGGTGGGCAACAAGACAGCAAGAGGCTTGAGAGACCAGAGGCTACGTTTTAGGTGTGGTGTTCTCTCCTAGCCCCTTGCTTTGTTTAAAACAAAATTTTGTTTGAGTTGGGGGGGCGGTGGTCAGGAAAGGAAGAGTTAGCGTCCCCGTTCACCTGGCGCCAAAGTCCTCCTCCCCACTCCCACTCTTGCCACTGTTTCCAGCTTCCCCCTCTCAGATGAAGTTCCTTCAGAGGAGGCAGAAAGACTCCCTGGAGGATGGGAGAATTGCGAAGTATCTCAGAAAAAAATGGAGGGAAGAATAAATGTCTTAATAAAAGTTTGGTGCTTGAGACGTGGCTGTTGGGAGGGGGGTGAGCCTTCTAGTGAGAAAGCGGGAAGGCGAAAACTAGTGAGCTCCTCGGGCAGCTCCTCAGAGGCAGGGCCTGTCTCGTTCATTTGTGGCTTCCCTGGGAAGGACCTGCTCTTCACTGGGGGCGCGACGAAAGCCTGCTAAACAAACGTGTGCATGCAGGACTCCTCCGGCCGTTCTGGAGGAAGAAAAGGACAGAGGAGAAGAAGGAAGGGAGAGAGGACAGGAAGAAATGAGAAGTAGAGGGAGCACCGGATGTCCCAAGGAGCAATGACAATTACTGGCATTTATCGATCACTCACTTGGCTCAGGCACTTTTCATGCATTAACTCATTTTAGCCTCTCAACAAGCCCAGGCAGTAGTACTATTATTATCCCCATTTTACGGTTAAGGCAACTGAGGCACAGAGGGGTCAAATGCCTTACTCAAGGTCACTCCGCTGGTGAGTAGCTAGGGTCTGACCCCAAAGCACAAGCTGTGACCCACTTCTTCATACAGCCCCAGGAGTGGAATTAGCCTCAAATCCAAAGCTAGAAAACCTCCCTCACCACTACTCAGGTCATTACCCTCACCATGCCTCAGTTTCTCCTGCAGAATGGCAGGATTGGGCTTGAGATGTTCGGGGCCGTGTGTTCTGCTGAGTCACCAGACACAAGGGTCTTTTGCGTGGTAGGCCAGCACACCAACTCCTGAAACCGAGGACTGACTTGATGGTGTGGGGTGGCAGTGGAGAGTAATGGGTCAGTGGTCCATGGGGACTGTTAATTATTGATGTGTTGCTGCTTCCTGTTAATTACAGGATTAAAGAGGGGAGAAAATTCTCTGAACCTGAGAGGTGTGTCCCACCCCCACATCTGGCCTTCCTGTGTGGACAAATCCCAAACATGGGATTCTCAGACCCATGCCAGGTGGGAAGGAGACAAGCTGTACTTTTGAGGGGTTTTGTTTGTTTGTTTGTTTGTTTGTTTCTCAGCTGGTCTAAAACAAGTAGAGATCACTCAACAACTATGGGATAAGGGGATGGTTGGGCCTCCTCTCCCAAATCTGGAGGCTTTATTAGGGGACAGGGCAAATCCTGGCCACCTCAGGGCCAGAGGGCCATGGAGTCCCCGGTCTCTATGCATTTACCAATTAACTTCCAGCTTAAGGCAGGGCATGGAATGCATCCCAGCGGATGTCTGTCTTGGGCAATTACCATCCAGGGCTTCTGGAAACTTCTGGTCCTGAGAAGCTTTGCCGAAACCTTGCAGAATAGGTCCCAAAGTCTACCAGCCTGCAACACCATTTACCAGCCTGTGGCATTTCCTCTTAGTTTAATGCATTCTGTTGAACACTTCTCCAAACTGTGGGTCATACTTTGAATTTATATTCATTTATTCAACAAGTCATTTAGCTATTTCGTTTACTATTGCGGTCAATTTTTCACTTCTCTCACCATTGGAGTGTTTACCCATTTCTTTCACGTCTGATGTTATTTCCATCATGTCCTTGTTAAGAAGGAAAAACAGGAACAGTGACGAGCTCAGTCCTGGGACAGGGGTGGCCTGGCGGAGAAAGGCAGGACCAGAGGCACTGCACCAAGACTGCCGCTGACCTCCAGGCTCAGCCTGGTGTGGCCACCTCAGACCAACTGGGAGGTGGGCAGTGGGAACAAAGGGAGAAAAGGGGGGCTTCTCCAATGGAGTTCGAAGGTCCCCGCCCCTCCCCAAGAGGCCCTCCTCTGTCACCCGGGAGGGGTAAATTAGCTCTCCCAAAACACGTTATCCAATTGCCTTGCTTTATTTTCTTCATGGATCCTTTCACTCTCTGAAATAATATTATTCATTTGTTTTAATGTTCATTACCTTCACCCCTTCACACCCCTTCCACCCCCAGCCAGGTTCATTCTTCACGGACTATCTTGCTCACGTAAGGATTTATTTCTTGCACAATGGACTGAATGAAAACTCCCTTGCAAAGAGTAAGTGCAAAGCAGATATCAAAGAGTGAGAACATCACGTTCCTTTGGGTTCAACAATTCTAACATTCTAACTTGCAGAAAAGAGCTAGGTCTTCAGTGGAAAAGTGGGAAGCCGACTGGCTCTCCAGGATCAGAACAGGTGAAAAGTAACCCACTCCTGTCCCTTCTCTCTTGTGCCCCAGCCTCAGCTCCACTTAACTAGGGGGTGTGGAAAGCTTCTCCAGCCGCAAAAGGGAGCCGTGCGCTCAGATGCTCCTCCGCAGGCCGCGTCTCGCTGCGCGCACGAGCCGAGCTCAGCCTGGGCGGTGGGTGGGAAGAAACAGGGAGGGGAAGGTCTGGGGGTGTGAGGGTGGAGCGGAGCCCGGCCCAGCAATCCGGCCCGGGTTTTGCATGCCACCCACTCGCCCGCTCGGCCGCGGAGAATTCCATAATCACAGCGGGCGAGAGCGGAGACTGGGAGCGAAAAATCCGGGATCCGGCAACTTTGGGCAGCGCATGCGCGCCCGCGGCGCTCCATCCCAAACACACACACATTTTTCCCCCGGACTTGGAAAGTCACCCAAAGCCGCCCCAAGTGCAGGTAAGAGACTCGGCGCTCCCTCCGCCGCGGCCCCCCCACGCCCCTCAGCTCCGAGGGCCTCCCGAGGTGCTTCCCCGCCTCGCCCCCTGTCCCGGTGCAGCCCCCCACCTCCGGGGCTGCCGCTTGCAGCAGGGAGCGGGCGAGCGAGCGAGCGAGCCAGCCAGCCAGCCAGCCTGCCTGCGCGCGGCGGCTGCCACCCAACTCCGGCCGTGCGGGAGGCAGGGGGCACGGAGGGCTGGCATCCGGGCGCGGGGCGGCGCGTCGCCCGCCGCGGCCCGGGGAATGCCCAGCGCGCGGCTCCGGGAGAGGGGAGGGCTGCTGCTCCTGGGGGTCACTTACTCCAGCTGAGGGGGCGGCGGGGTAGGGGAGAAGAGGGGGAGGTGCCAGGCTCGAGTGCAGGACTTTGCAAATAGGGTGGGGGCGCCCCCCGCGCTGCAGGCTCGGGGGGGGGGCAGGTGCTCGCCAACACTGGGTAATCACTCCTTCCCCCTACGCTCCCCCCCCACCCCCGGTTGCAGGGGTTCGAGCGCCCGCCAGGGCAGAGAAGGAGGCAGGGGTGAGGGGTGCCTGGGGTGACTTTGCAAGACTTTGCCCAGGGGAAGGGGTGGGTGGGGAACCCCTCCAGCCGACTCTTGTGCCCCAATACCAGGGTGTAGGTGCTACCGGCCGAGGTAGGCAGTGTTCACTTAGGCGCGGGGTGCCAAGGGGTGCCTCCGGGTGGGAAAATGAAGACGAAGGGTTGCATGGCTGGGGGGAGCGGCGCCCCCTTTTTCATTTGTGCCTGGGAAGTTTGTCTCAAGTGCGCTGCTCCGGGCGCGGCAAGTGGCGCTCCTCACTCCCCCCACCCCCACCCCAGCCTCCCCAGGCGCAGGGCTGGCAGTGCTGGGCACAGGGAGCCGGGACACCGGCTCAGGGCCACGCGGCTGTCCGTCGGAGCCCTCCTGGGTCCGGGGAAAAGTTCGGGGGAGTTGACGCGGTTGTTGTGTGCGCTGGGAGAGAAGTTGCGCCCGGGGATGTGGGACGTTGGGCTGGCGGGCAGGCGGGTAGAGCGGTGCGCTCCAGGGGGCTCGGCCGAGGTGGGTGAGGGTCTGGCGGGGTCTGTGCCCCAGGGTGGGCTGAGGGTGACCTCGGGGCTTAGCAGCTGGGGAGAGGAAACCCTGAAACCAGGGACGCGCGGCTGAAATAGGCACGAGGCGGAGGACAGAGACAAGAGTAGCTCGTAGGGGAGCAGAGGGGCACCGACGGAGAGAAGGCCGGACCACCCGGTCACTTGGGGTCGACCTTCAGGGCAAAGGAGCGCGTGGTGGCTGGCGAAGGAGTGTCGCGAAGCGGGGCTCCAGGGGGCGCGCGGGAATGGGGGATCGGGTCGGACCGACAGTCAGGGAGCTCCCGGGGTAGGGGGCCGAGTCGTGCGCCCGGGGTGAGCCGGCCGGGCGGAGCGGCGGCCGGTTTATTTTTACTCGGTGGCATTTGCAGAATGTGCAGCTGATGGCCGTCGGCCGCCAGGAAGTTTTGCTTTCTGTTCTTTCTCTCTTCCCGAAGCCAGCGCGTCCGGGAGCGGGCGGGCTGGGGATCGGGGCCTGGAAGGGGAGGGGGCGGCCGCTGGGGTGGCAAGGTGCGGGCAGGGGCGCGCTGGGGCGGCGGGCGGGGGCTGGCCGGCGAGGGCGGCGAGCGGGCGCTGGGTCGCAGCGGAGCATTTGGGCGAATGTCTGTCCCCAGCGTTGGGAGCTTCTCGGCGAGGGGAACAGGTGTATGCGCCGTCAATCACGGCGGGAGGGACACTTTGGGGGCGTAGATTAAGATAATAATAATAGATTTTTCTCTAGGGGGTGGGCGCAGATTCTTCTTCCAAGTCGTCCGCGACCCAGGTCCGAAGTTGGGGGAGGAGAAGAGTGCCGAGGGAGGCAGGGGGCCGCTTCTCCCTCTACACAAGTTCTTCCGGACCCAGCCTCAGCTTGGGAAGCGGGCCTTGGGTGCGGCGAGGACCTCCTTCCAGTCACGCTGGGGAGGGTGCGGGTGCGTGTGCGGGTGCGTATGATTAGTCCACCAGGGAAGCAGCGAAAACACCCCTCCAACAAGCCTGGAGCTCCCCCAAACTCAGCTGGATCAAGGGGCAACTGGGGGGGGGTTATGCGTCGCTGTCCCAGCGGAGTCTGGGGGCACGATCCCCAGAGTGTGTGGTTGTCCCGCCAACACCCGGTACACTCAAAGAGATGGGGGCCGCGAGGGGGGAAAAGGCCAAGGGTAGTCGTGGAGCAAAGTTGGTAAATTTAGGACGTCTCGGAGCTGGTACAAGCGCTCGATAAGAGCGAGCGAGGGGACAGGAAAACAGATCGCAGGGTAAATTGGCGCGCCCCCCCCCGCCCACCCCACGGCGCGCGCGCACACACACACGCACGCGCGCGCGCGCGCGCACACACACACACACACACCACACACGTCGCCGTCCTAAAGGGAGCTGTCCGGGCTGAGCAGGAGCAGCTGCGCCGGGCGTGGTGAGGGGGGTAGTTGGTCCCCGGGGGCTGCGCCCGGGCTGCGCTCCACGTGCCCAGAGGGGGCGCTGGGCCGTTCGGCGCCCGAGCGCAAAGCTCCGGGTTTGCGCCTTGGTGGCGGCCAGGAGTTGCGTCCCGGGCAGGCGTCGCGCCCCGCGCCATCTCCGGCGACCCGCGCTACCTCCCCCGACGCCAGCCGCTTTCCCACTTGCCAAACTTCGGCTTTATGGTTTGCCCCTCACTCGAGCTCTCGGACCCTCTGCAGGCCAGGGTGGGGAACTTTTCCCTTCCCGGCGGCGGCCACCGTCTCTCTCCGGGATCCCGCGAGCTGGAGAGATTGCCCCCCTCCCCCCGCCCCCATCTTGTTAGCCACCTTAGAGGCGGTTAACGAGAGTTTATGGGGAATATTGTTGAACTTCAGTAATCAGGTTTCCAGCGATCTTATGCCTCCTGTTTAATTTATTAGACTAGTTATTTATTCTGTTGATGATAATCTGTTGCTGGTTTCTATGGAGATGTTAAACTGATCTCTTTCAGAAATCAAACTCCATATGCACTAAAACGTTTAAAGGGGCAGTGCCTCTCTCTCTCTTTTTGATTTTTGTTTTTTAGACTTTGCACCTTGCAGAGACTTCGCGTCTTTCCCTGAGTCTCCGTGCATTTTATTTCCTTCTTACGAAGGAGAGGAGCCGGGAGACTCGCGCTTTGTGGCAAGTACAGCTTATTATGGCTAGAAGAGAGCGAAGGCTTTGATCCCTAAGTTGCATCATCATTTAAAACAGATCATTTCACCACCACCCCCTTCTTCCCCATCGTATAAGAACAAAATTCTTTCAAGATCAAAGAGTCCAATCTAAAACAAAAAAACAACTATTGTTAAAAAAATAGGAAGTTAGTCAAATGTGAACCTCTCCTTTGTATCTGCTCCCCTTGTGTTCAAAGAATTTTTTTAATAAGAAAAACAAAACTTGTAGCTCAGCTAATTTTTCATACTTATTAATAGTTTATCTGCCCCCCCTTTTTAATTTAAAAAGAAGTTCAAAGTTAGATTTCTCTGCCTGTGGGGGTTGAGGTATATTTGCTTCTCTTTTAGATCCTGACCATCTGTTTTTGGAAAATTAGCCTCTGGGAAGAGGGGGAAAGTTTTTACTCAAACTTAATGGGAGTACTTTAAAAATTTTTTAAAAAATACCCAAATATTTGACAGTCCTAATTTCCCCACTTTTGGGGGGGGGAAGATCAGTAACCTCTGTCCGTGTATAAGAACATATCAACTTTTTCTCCTTTTCTCCTCCTGTCCTCTTCTCAGTTATTTTTCTGTAGACTCCTGACTTTGAGGGGGTGGGTGCAGTGAATTAAGAAAGTAAGGCGAAAAAAAAAATTATCTTGGTTTGTGACGCTCTGAAAAATTGCAAACCTACTCTGAACTCAGATATTTATCACGCTGACAGATATGATACAAAGCGATTGCATTTCCTAATGATCCTCTGGGACTAAGTTGTAGGTAAAACCATTTAATGCATTTTTAATTTTAAAGTAAGGCCCGGGTTCCATTTTCTTGGAGGTGGGGGGAGTGGATGTCCCTCTCTAGAGCTGATGCTTTCTGAGTATACTGTTTTGCTTTTTCAAGTAGAATTCCCCCTCTACCCCTTCACATTTCCATTTACTTTGGGGAGGGGTGAGCCACACACAGGGCATTTGGCTTTCATAAATAAATTTATATCTGGCCAGAAGGTCCAAAGCTAAATAAGAGCACACTTAAAAAAAAGAAAGAAGCAAAAACAAAACTTAGACTCCACCCCTGCTATAGGAAATAAAACAGAGTCAATACTTGACTTTTTCCCCCCCCCCTTATGCCATCCTGGTTCTCTTTTACATTATTTTATTTTGGAAGGAGGTGGAGTGGTTGTTGCTTCTCAGCTCAGAGGAGAGAGGAACCATTCCTGCTCTTTCCCCCTTTGCTATATTTTAAAAATTTGTTTGATTTGGATTGCAAACAGAACAGGCTTACGGGAGAAAAGAGCACTGTGGCTTTAAACTCAGGAGTTTGCATATTCTCCTTGTATCTTTCCCCTTTGCTAATTATTGTGTTGTTTTCAGAGCAAATATGTCATATCCATGGCGACCGGGCAGGTTTATTGTCTTTCTGAAGCAATAGCTCACATAAGTAATTAATGACTTTCTTTTTTTTCCTCTGGCTTAGGTTAAACAGATCATTCAAGGAAAGTCATATCTCTCTCTTCTCTCTTCTCTCTCTCTCCCCTTTTTTTTAGCCCAGTGACATAAGAACATGAGTTAGAACAAGAAAATACTTTAACCAAGAAGTCAACAGCTTATTTTCCCCCATTTCTTTTCAAAGCTGAAGTGTCAGCTTTCAGACATATGAGGCTGTCATTCTGGCGGCTGTGAGCTGTGTAGTCCACGCCTGGGTTGGAAATCCATTTGGAGGTTGTGCAGCAGAAGTGTTGGCATGGGGGGGAGTAACCTGCAGGAATTTGCTTTTGAGGT